ATATATATATATATAAGCATCCCGTATCGCTACTTCCATTCCCAGGGAGTGTTCGATTACTTTCTAAAGAAAGTCCACCATACGCGAGGCGTGCGATGCCTTTTTTCGCGAGTCGCCACCACGCGTGAATGTAAATACTCGAGGATACGTCTAATCGAGAAAAATATATATATATATATATATGTATAACGTACGATTGGCAGGTCGGAGCCAGTGTCGCGGCAGTCGTCGTACGAGGAGCCACCCGTCCAAGCCCAGCACCAGCGCCCAAACCGCCAGCAGCAGTTCGTCCAGGCCCTGAGCTCCTCGAGCAGCGGCAGCCAGCCCCAACAGGCCCTCCACGAGCGGCTCATCAGGCGCGGGGCCGTGCCCCACCACCACCAGGTACCCCCGGAGACCCAACTGGCCGATAGGTCCCGGCCCAAGCTCCGCACCCACTACCAGGAGCTACAGCAACCACCCGAGCCCGAGCGGCCCCGGCCCAAGAGCTTTTACGAGGTGCCGCTCGCCGCGAGGGAGCTCCGAGGACCCCGTAACCCCGTCGACTCGCGGGAGGTGGGCCAACTATTTTTTATACCTCCGAGTATAATAATTATGTATGATTACGCTGACCCCCGTTGTTCCGTTGTTCGCAGGCGCGGGAGTTCGCCCGGGGCCTTCACGCCAAGCAGCAGCGCCCGAGGCCGTTTACCTACGGGGAGCTCGCCGAGCACGAGAGGTACCCGGGACTGGACCGGGAGAGCGCCAGACCGGCCCACGAGGGGCCCGCCACCCCGGCCCGCTACAGGCACAGCTACGCCGAGCCACCCAGACTTGGGCTCGCTGCCCTCCATCCATACTGATTTTTTTTTTTTTTTTTTTCTCGTTTTCCCTCGGCGCACCATTTAACGCCATGCGCTGGAGGGACCGGAGCAAAGTATCGGAACGATTTCTGATGAGAAATGAATGAGAGTTCGAGAATCAGCTGGGGATACAACACGACGGACTTTAGAGGAATCTGCATTAATCAAATAAGGGCAAAGTGTCGCGAATTCACATGTATTTTATGCTCAAGTATACTTCTCGAATGAATTTTATACGTGTGTCGTCGTACTTTTTTTTTTTTTTCTATTTTTATACCCCACTGTAAGCTTATTGTTTTCGATATTTGTAAGATAGATCTTTTGTACAATCTTATTATTGTTTGATGTGCTAAATGGCGTGCTGAGTGTCGGCAATATTTTTCCAGATGACTTTTGACGAAAATAAATACTTATTTCATGAATTATTCTTATGTTGTAACATACAAACGATTATTGAAATACATGTTTACGTGGAACTACGAAATTTCAGTGCCATTATATTAAGCTGAAAACGTGCTTTTTTTTAATATTTTAAACAACCAAATAATTATAATGCTTAAAATATTCAAGCTTTTGAAAAAAAAATTAGTTACTTTGATAGTTAAAAAGTTCTGACTTGTAAATATTTACACGACTATACATTAGTGAAGATGTTTTATTGACAATTATCAATATAAAATTTCAAGAGTAAAGATATAATTATTACGCTTTCTGAACAACAAAAAAAATGCACAGAATTTCAAATTTGTTTGATTAATAGGAACAATTCAATTAAAAAAAAATTTTTTTCGTACTTGCTCAGAAAGACTATATAATATATATTGTTGTACATACGGATATCCATAATGTTATTCTGTTTTTCAATACTATCACGTACATGCGTCAACATTATTGCGACGGTGAAAATATTTTTGTATACCTTAATCTAATGTAAAAGAAAAAAAATACTTGCGGTTACGACATAATACTATAATCAAACGCTTGTGATAAAAGCGAATGAAAAATATCGATTAACTTTTTTAACGCAACAAATGAAAAAAAAACAAATAATAATAATAATAAATAAATAAATAAATAATGGTGCAAAACGTTTTGCAGCGACAAAATACTTTGGTCGAATTCACTTTTAACGAAAATCAATCGCCCAACAAACAGGTGTTTATTATGTCTTATAAAAATACATGTATACTTGTACACTGCAGAGCGAGCGTGTAATGGCGATTTTCGTGCCGAACGTGAATTACGACGAGTTATGGCGCTACGACAACTATCAACTAATATAAACGATTGTATGATAATAAAAGGGACAATAATATGTTGTTGTACATCGTTGTCCTACTTTTTTTTTGTATCCACCCTAAATATAAGGTTTTTTTTTCCAACGTCAAAAACAACGTGGTAATGGTGTTCGTAATACGTCACTCCGGCGCCGCAAGAGTAGGATATATTATATGTATGGCAAATGAACTCTTGGGGATGGTTCGCGAGAAAGCGCTTGTATAATACGACGGCTAAGCGAAGAGGCGAAATAACAGTGATTTGCCGGGACATCAGAAACGCTATTAAAGATTTTCTCAATTGTTAGTAATGACGACGGCATGAGGGCGAGGGGGGCCAACCGCGCGCTCGTCTCTTTGGAAATTGCACGGGTGTACTTGGTATCGTCACCGCAGATCATCATCAACTCTCGGCGAACTGCGCGGAAAAAGACGAGAAATCGTTAATGGGGAGGGAATGGTTGATTTCGTCTTAGCTTCGCTGCTGCGATATTGTAAACGCGTATTTTTTTACGCTTCGTTGAAATTACGGCCCGCGTGCCATTTATTATCCTCAGGGGCGATTTCTAAAGAATTTTTCAACACCGAAACCTCTAACGCAACAAAACCTCGAGAGTCGGTTAATGACTTGCGTCTGGTCCCAAAGTGGAAACCATAAGGAGAAAAAAAAAATGCGTACGCGAAATTCCCGAAGTAAGGGCCATTAATTAAAAGTTCCACGTTTAGCGTGCCAAAGAGCTGCAGATTCCAAATAACACTTTCGAGGCAAGTTAGTTGACGCCAAGCCGGCCGAAGCCTATATATGATGCTGATGGTTCGTTGTGCATCTTTTATATAGTACATGCAGGTATGGTAAGTATCAGTGCCGTGCAAGCGCGAGTATGGAGACAATTGCTTCCTCCGTGCCTTTGTCTCGATGGCTAATGCTTTTTCGGTGTTCTCCGTTTTTTGCCCTGGTATAGGTGTTCAATCTCCTGCTTGAAGAGACCTTCGATAAAAAAGAGCCATTCCTGACCAAACTTTTTTTGTTTTCCTCAGCTGTACAGCTAGATGGGCGGTGCCATTGAGAAAAATGCACGCGATACTCAAACTCCGGGGTATTCGTCGAAGTTAAAACATATAATTCAGCCAGAGAAATGTATGCATATGTGTAATATGTGTAAGTAGGTATATCTCTTAGCATAGAAGACGCAGTGGTGCAATTAGTGCCAAACTTGCGTACGAGAGCGTTTTCCGCGAACGGAGGTAAACCTTGGCTCTCGCTCGAATTCCAGTCCATCCGCTGTCCTCTGCATGTGCGAGTTTGCAGTTATTGCGTCGCTTTCGAGACTGCCTTTTTCAAACGCATCGGCGTAAGTACACCTTGTGAAGCTGTATAATTTTTTGTCCCTTGTTCCGAGTGCACCGGCAAATACCTCCATGCCCCGACGACAGAGTTGTCGCAAAGTATATATAGTTCCGGCTCGGTGCAATTTCTAATTGGGCCGCCAACCTCTCTCGTGATTTTTTTCAATCGGTCGAGTGCATGGCTAACCAAAGCACGAGTGTATCATCTAGATGACGCCATCTCGTTGGGGGGGGGGGTGATGGTTTCATAATGAGTTTAGTTCGTAATGGTTACCAAAATTTTACGCGTCGGTATGTCACTTCCACAATGGGTAACAACAGTCACGAAAGATGAATATCGTTAAAAAAAAAAAGAGAGAGAGAAAAATCCTTAGAAAGGGAAAAACAATGTACAATGGAGGCACGGAGCGTGCGCAGATGAGATAAATATGAGCTCTCAATTAATAACGGCTGCAGGGCCGGACGATGAAACAAACGGCCACTTAAGTATTCGAGCCGTCCTGTCCGCGGGAGCACCGAGACGATACGCGTGTGTATATGTAGAGGTATAATTACGGGCGTCATTGTTATGGAAATCGCGAGCCGTACTTTTGCCAACGTACAGCCGATACGACAGAGACGGAGTCCTATAGCTGTGTATAATATGCACGATAGACAATCGAGGAATCGCGAAATCGGATTGCGAGCGTTACGCCGTGGTTTTGTAAGCGCTCCCCTGGTTGCGAAATAGCTCGGCTCTGAACGGCCGAGTGCTCTTGATCGAGATGACTCCCCCCCAGTGGTCCTGTTCGCGCCGAGGAGTGGGCATATAGCGTTGATCATGTCCGGAGTCGAGCGGTTTTTCCGATCGGAAAATCGTTGCGATCGCGAGGAATGCCACCCGAACCGTACGGCGCTGAAGTAATTGCATTGGATTAAAAATGAGAAGAAAAAAGGAAAAAAAAAAAAAAATTGCACGGTGGATGAGCGCTCGCGGTGTGTGTATCAGAGGCGCGTGTATGTAATTTCGCGCGGAGGGGCAAATAAAGCAACCAAGACAGCGGCAGGAGTTCCTCGAGCTCGGGGCTCTGCTATTAGCGTCGCATCTGCGGTAGCTCTCCTTGTGTTACTCCCACGCTCGCTGCCCCGTTGGAAAGGGAATGAGTGCTCTCGGGACACAAAGGATTATTTATATACACACGCGAGGCTTATTTACAACAAAAGAATAACACCCCCTCTCCATCATTACGAGCAAAGCTTTTCTTTACTCGCATTTGTCGCTATTTTTTCTTTTTTTTTCCTCTCAAGTTGCACTCATTTCTTTTGTGCGTTCGCGTATAGGATTCCTTGCTTGTTTCATCTTCTCTTTCCTTCTTTAATAATGGCCATGCGCGGGCACAACGTATAAAGTGTCTCCTGAGTTAACGGGAATTTTAGCAAGCCAACGATACAAAACATTTTTTTAATATAAATACTGATTTCTCAGCCTAAAAATACAACGTTTAGTCGTTGTAATGACAACGTTTTAACGGATACATGGAAAATTTTCGGTAGATTCAACTGTTCGATAAAAACGGCAAAAACAGTAAGTTCAGCTTGTTGTAGCTACGGAAAGTGGCTAAAGCCAAATTACGAGTCGAAAATATTGACGTCTTTATATACCCTGGGGCTTGTACCTAGTCTGTCACACATTTATTAATTAAAAGATTTTTAGGTCAAGTAGAACCGTTATACATAAAGTAGCTCGAGCCGATAGAAATTAAAAAAAAAAAAAATGAATAAGTTGACGTAGTCTGTTATGTTTTGATACTCGCTGTAAAAATATCTAACGTATCATTGTTTTCCAGTTATCAAATTACTTTCAATTGCGCGTGTTCGCACGCGTACGTAGTACTGTCATTAAATCGCATTGCCTGAAGTTATATTGAAAAAAATAAAATCATCCAAGAGAGAGAGAGAGAGAGAGACGAAATAAAAGGGAGTAACTAGCTAGTGGGAATAGAGAACAATTTTCAAATGACCGATAAAGTTAATTCAATTGACAATATATAGATACACTGGTATTCACATGAAATTCGAGATAAAAAATGTCAATGATCTTACACAAGTACAAATATAGTGTAAACACTTTTTTCTCACTTGAACGGACACCCTATTCATAACAACAATGCATCATCAACGAAACTGCGATTTAAAACACGTTTAATAATTTTTTGTAAGCATTAATATTAGTTCCATCCAAGCAGCAGTATTGTGCACTCCCAATAGATAATAATATTGTACAATTCTTGATTTCATAAAATTTATGATTAAACCACGTATTTACGAGGGTCGGAAAAAAATTAGCCCACAATACATACATATCAAGTGCTCTGTAGGTACATGTATATACGTGTG